TGAAGTAGCAATAATTTCAGTGCACAACTTCAGAAATGAATGAACATCTCTAAGAAATGCACACTGATGATATCTAGGCTTGCCCTTTAACAAGGCACAGGGCAGAAGGTAAGGTAAAAGGAGTAAGAAAGGACGATAAAAGTTAAAAAAAGAGTGAAGGCAGATGAAAGGTGACAAGTGATTGAAAGTGGAAACATAAAAAATGAGAGAATTTAAGAGCAGGAATGAAAAAAATAACAGGAAAAGGAAAATAAAGAAACAGTTGGCCACAATTTTACTGCAAGTTTGCAGAGACTCATATAGACAACATAACTTTCTTTCGCAGGGCAGGGCATATTTTACGAATTAAAATACATGTGTAACACCCAAAAGAATCTGTGGAATGAGAATTTACCATTAGATCCTCACCTCCGGGCACCTTGGGTTGGCTTTATTCAGGGCATGAGAGCAGGCATTCACAGCATGGGCCAGTTCTTGCTCCAAAAGACAATGAATTGTGGCTGCGTCACAGATCCTAAAAGCAAAAATGAAACAAATAAATAAAAAACTTTTCTGAGTATTGCTCATTTTTTTTTTGAAGTAAAGAAGTGTTAGGATAAAACAAGTAAGAAATATATGAAGATCAGTAAGGAAGAACATTTTTAATGGCTGCTCAATTATGAATGACACAGGTAGATCTACAAATCCAGACCCCACTGCAACAAAAAATATGAAATAAAAAAACTCGTATAAAAAGTTAGGCTTAAAATCAGAGGGAGACACATTGAAGTGCTATTTTGAAGAATGAAGTACAGCAGTACTTCATTTTGCAGTATCCTTGGAAAGTGAGAGGGATCACAAATATAAAGACTAGAAACTTCTCTTTCATTCATTGAAACTGCAGATGCCACAGATTAGGGAAGAGCATTACCGTATTTGTCATGGATACACAAAGTGATCACAAGCAGCATGTAAGTTAATATCCATGGCCTTTAAATGTAGCTATGATTTATTATCTCCATATTATTGATGATGACATTGAGGCTCAGAGAGACGTGGTATGTATACAGAGCTAGTCAGTTGTAGAGCAGGATCGGAATCTATGTCTATCTAACTCCAAGCCTGTTGTGCCATACTCCACTGGTATCTGAACCTCTAAGAATAGTCCTGAAAAGACCAAATTCTGGAAGGCACTAAGGCCAAGGACAAGAAAGGAGAAAAAGTTCCTCCAATTGCTAGACAATGATGTAAGCCTTGCAGATGAGCAAGAAGGCAGGGCTGTTCAAATGTTTTTTTGCTTCTGACAGCTTCATAGAAAAATATTTTCTATCTGGAAAGGGTAGAACAAGAAAAGGGACCGAAGCCCTATATAACTGAACCAAGAGTAAAGAAAAATAATTTAATTCTTAAGGATTATACAATGGATATCTGAGGTACAAAGAGGCTTACAAATGTCACCTCAGCACTACTATCAGCAACCTTGAGAAATCATGAAGAACGGGCTATTTTTCAGAACAGAGATGGATAAAGGTTATTCCAATTTTCAGAGAAAGGGAAAGACATAAATCAACTTCAGATCAACATTTCTAATTGCCTGCTGAATCTCCTAGGTATTTTTAATGTAATTTAAATTCTAAAGTCCAACATGGAACCCATCATTTTTCTTCTAACACCTACTCCTCTTCCTGAACCCTATGACTCCATCAAAGGCACCCCACAATCATCCAGCCACTCATTAGAACATTTAAGGTCAGCCTGTCTCCTAATTCATGCCCATTCACCAAATTTAAATCCTAAACTGTCTTTAATCTCACTTGTCCTTTCTATCTCTACTGCTTTAGTCTATCATTTTTTATAGGGACAACTTCTACAGCATCCTCAGTGTTCACCTTGCCCCAGCTTTGCTGTCTTCCCAAAAAACCCCTCCACACTACTTCTAGAACAGCCCAATAAAGATCTGGTTCCTCCTCACCTCTTCATCTACATTCCACACACTCTTGCATACACTATGCCAACCTTTCAGTCACCCCAAACTCTCTGAGATTTCCTGAAACTAGCATGCACTCACACTCCTCTGGGCCTCTTCCTAGGCTGGTTCCCATGCTTAAATTACTCCTTTTCTTACTCTTCCCTCAAGACTTGGTTGAAAGGTCACTTCTTCCAGGCAGCCCTCCTTCACTACCTCTGACCTCCTCTGTGTATCTAGAGAGTCCACTGTGTGCCTCATGTGAACACTTTGGCCACATTTCTCCCTCCTACTAATCTGTGAGCCAATTAAGTAGTGCTGTCAAATAATCATCTTGTATCCCCAGCCTAAAACAGTGCTTGGCCCACAGAAGAGGCTCAAAAATGGAATATGTTTGCATAGTCAATGAATAAATTCTGAAAATAGACAAGTAAGCCTGATTTCATCTGCAAAATTTAAAAACAGATGGGGAGCCAAACTGTGTTGACCAAAAGCAAGCCTAGTCAACCTCTGCTTCCTTTTTACGATAAGATTATTTGGATGGTTCACAGGATGAGAACATGGAAGTGTATTTTGGTTTCCAAAAAACGCTGTAAATTAGAGGCCACAGAAGTTGTCTGTAGTATCTAAAAGAGATGTATTTACTCTAAAACTAACAACCCTATGGATAAGAAGCTAAGATGTACAATAATGCAGCTGTGTGGGTACAGCTGAGTAAATATTCATTTTCTCTTCCCTTTCTTCTGAGTTGCCCAGTATTTTGCAGTTATAAGACTTGATTCTAATTCTGATTGTTGATCTAGCAGTAGGGGATGTATGCCTTTTCTCTTCTGTCTCTAACATCTCTTACATTCTAGCTATCTAATAAATATTAGAAGAGTAGAGTAAGGAATGGGAGGGGAGCAGATGGCAAATAGTAGAGAGGAGGAAAGATGTGAGTTAGTCCCTGAAACCACTGAGCTTTGCTTTCCTTCTTTTCTTTTTCAACATTTTTATCAGTGACCAGATGAAGATGTGGGAAGAATCTAAAGTTACTGTGCACAGAACACTCAATATGCCAGACATGATGTGTGATGTCATTTGGCTGTGTCCCCACCCAAATCTCATCTTGCATTGTAGCTCCCATAATCCCTACATGTCGTGGGAGAGACCAGTGGAAGGTAACTGAATAATGGGGGTGAGTTTTTTCTGTACTGTTCTCGTGATAGTGACTAAGTCTCACAAGATCTGATGGCTCTATAAAGGGCAGTTCCCTTGCACACACTCTCTTGCCTGCTGCCATGTAAGATGTGCCTTTGCTCCTCCTTTGCCTGCTGCCATGATTATGAGGCCCCTCCAGACATGTAGAACTGTGAGTCTATTAAACCTCTTTTTATTTTTTCTTTTTTTGGAGACGGAGTCTCACTCTGTCATCCAGGCTGCAGTGCAGTGGCATGATCTTGGCTCACTGCAACTTCCAACACTCAGGTTCAAGTGATCCTCCTGCCTCAGCCTCCCAAGAAGCTGGGACTGCAGGTGCCTACCACCACAGCCAGCAAATTTTTGTATTTTTAGTAGAGACAGGGTTTCACCATGTTGGCTAGGCTGGTCTCAAACTTCTGACCTCAAGTGATCCACCTGCCTCAGCCTCCCAAACTGTTGGGATTATAGGAGTGAGCCACTGTGCCTGGCTTTAAACCCTTTTTTCTTTATAAATTACCCAGTCTGAGGTATTTCTTCATAGACATATGAAAATGGACTAATACAATGTGCTTATAGCACTCACCCCTAGAGTCTCATTTAATCCTCACACACCCTCGTGAAACAGCTCTTATTAACCCCATTTGGTAGATAAGACTCAAGTGAAGAGGAAGTAAGACACAGGCCTATGGTCCCTCCTCCCCTCTGAAGTTTTCCCTGGTCATAGTGATTTTTATTTGTTTAATACTCATAGGACTTGTGTTTTATCTCCTGTCTATTGAAATTAATTTATGTGTGGTCTCAAAATATCTCTAATATCTTGTCTGAAACTGCTTTTTGAAGTCTGTTTATTCTTTTTGCTCCTGACTCTCCCCTGGAACAGGATTAGTGTTTAGACTTCCCTCTCCATTCCATAAACATTTAACTAGTAATTAGAAGGCAACATGACAGTGGGCAGTATAGTGTGAAGACTATATATAAAATGGAGAAATAAGCAATAATGGAAAGAGTGCTGTGCGAAGAAGAGTAATTGCATCTCTTTTTTGATACCACTACTGAAACGATGTGTTAAGATTAAAAAACCAAAAATTAGCTGAGACCAGAGTTCCCGCAGCCTGAAAAGCCAGCAGAGCCCCCTACCTAGTAATGAGCTCCTCTGCAGCCTGGGAGCACAGCTGCATCTGCGACACCTCTTCCGTTGCTAAGTCAATGGCGTGATGGATGTACAAATGGGTTCGGAGAACTGGTTTACCAGAATCACACTTCTGCTTATCTTCCCAAGATTTCAGAGTGCTCTCAAAGGCCTATTTAAAATCAATATTGTAATGAATTGTTAGTTTTGAACTCAGAGGTCCAAGTAAATGTGTACTTTAATAAAACTACAATTGCTTTTTCTCTAATGACTCCTCAAATAAATCACAAGTATAAAAAAGACATTTCAAAGTTTTCCAATGTACTGCAACACATGAAAAGTAGTGCAGTCAATGATCATGAATACATCATTTAAAAGCTAAAAAAGAGATTAGTTGAAGGCAGGATGATCACTTGAGGCCTGGAGTTGGAGACCAGCCTGGGCAACATAGTGAGACCTCATCTCTACAAAAAAGAATTTTTAAAAAAAAATTAGCTGGGCTGAGGTAGAAGGATTGCTTGAGCCCAGGAGTTTAAGGTTGTGGTGAGCTATGATCATACCACTGTACTTCAGCATGTGCAATGAAGCAGGACTGTTTCAAAACAAAAGCAAAAAAACAAACACACACAAAAAAGATTTCATGCTTCAATCTTTACTATTGCTTCAATTTATTCTTTAATCTTTACTATTTTATATATACTAGATGGGGCAAATATTAGCAGTCTTCTCTGATAAAGATTGACCTTAATTAAAAACACACATTCTGTGAAAAAGAAAATAATAGAGACAGTAAAAAAAAAAAAAAAAAAAAAAATCGATGATTGCCCGGAGTAAGGGTGAGGGAGGGAGGGATGAATAGGTAGACCACAAGGAATTTTTAGGGCAGTGAAATAATTTTGTATGATACTGCAATGGTGAATACAAGTGATTATATCTTTGTCCAAACCCACAGATGTACAACTCAAAGAGTAATGGAAACTATGGACTTTAGTTAATAATAACCAATCAGTATTGACTCAGCAGTTGTAACAGATGTGCCACACTAATGCAAGATGTTAATAGGGGAATTTACATGTGTAGGGAAGAAGGGGGAGGAGGAAGTATATAGGAACATAATTTGAATTTTCTTTACTTTCTGCCCAATTTTTCTGTAAATCTAAAATGGCTCTAAAAAATAAACTCCTACTTAAATAAATAAATAAATAAATATTTGTTCATATTTCAAACCACCAAGACCTAAATGTCAGATTTAACAGACAATTTAAATGTTTTAGTTTTCTATTTTTTCGTAACAATCTCAGAGTCTTTAAAAACCTGACAATATTCTAGAAGAATGTTTTTGTTACATACTCTGTCCCTTGTTAGCATTTGTGCTCTGTTTTTGTGCACAATTTTGATAATCCCTGGAGGCTGAACCCATGCTTCACCATCCACTTGCACTGGGACTCCTTCGTCACCAAATATAGTGATTTTTACTGTACGGCACTGAAATAAAACAAATTATTTTACAGTACGAATCATTTGGAGAAAATGACACTAAATCTATATGCAGGCTTGAGTATTAGACTATTCTACAGAATAGCATATTATGCTTTATCACTTATAAATGACATGGTAAAAACTGATAGGACAATGAAGTCTGAATATTATAGATGAATATTCAGTGTAGGAGTCATTTAGAATAGATTCCCTCAACCCTCCTTAGCCCAAGAAGTGCAGTCAGGTTTGATGAGAGAAACCAACCTGGGCTATTCGATGATGCTGCAGTTTAATGACCCTTGAAACTGCCATTTGCATGCTATCAAATATTGCTACAACTTCCAGGATCTTGTCATCAAATGACGGTGCAGCAAATATCTGAAAGGAAAAACTACATTGCACTTCTACTGAATGTTTAGGGGAAGAGCACATCAAGCAATGTAAACTGCTATATATATATATATATATAAATTTTAATATATTTAATAATATATTTAAGTAAATATTATTAGGAAATAATCCAATAAAAAAATCCCTGAAGATGACTTACAATAAACATAACTTCAAAAAGAGTTTTCAAACATACATGGATATACTACTCATACCTCTCATTAAGCTACTCTTTGGACCAGTTAACTAATATATTTCTAAATGATTCATCTTGGAATAAAACATGTTGAATACATGTTCATACGTAATTCAAATGTGTTAATAAGATGATACATATAAGTTTTGGAAATCTAAAAAAAACTAGACAGGTGATACAGTTTCCTAGAAAGGTGACAGAGTTTCACAAGGTTAAAGTTAATGAAGATGCAAATTATGATCCAGTTCACTTGATATGTTCTAAGGGAAATCTTGCAAGGTTTTACAAGCAATATACATATGTGCTTTATATTTTAATACAAAACTTTTGAGGGAACTTGAGAGTATGCAAATAGAAACCTCAGAGGATAAAAATTATGCAGACTTATTTTGTCTTTACATTAGATGCATTTTCACAAAATTAATTTACTCTAAAATTTTATATGTAGGCTGTATTACCTAATCATTTTTACTCTCTCTTTTACCATATCATAAATAATATGCATCTGAAACAATTTTCAGTATAAAGTAGTAAGCTAATTAAAACTTTCACTGAAAATATCAGGACACAAAGTTGCTAACATTGATGATTTCTTGTAATTTTTTTATTATACTGCCTGAATTTAAACCCTGTCTCTGCTAGTACTAACTGGAAACTTTGCCTTAGATTCTTCAGTGGTAAAAATCAAATAAGCAATGTGGATATTAAATAATGAATGTGAAGCTCTTAGAACATTGTCGGACTACCTAGTAGGTGTTCAAGGAATGTTGGCTTTATTTATCTTAATCTCACTGATTTCTCCCCTTCAAAATACTTAATAGTGACAAGCAGACAAAAGATGTTCTTATACTCAAATAGGACTGGAATATATTTATGTTATGAAAATTACAAATACTTTCCAATTGATCTTATACTTTAATCCCTACCTGTCCATTTAAGATTTTTGAGAAAAATAGATCAGTAGGAACCATTATATCATTATATCATAAACTGAAAATCAATGGATGTGACTCTTCAAATAAAGACTGTGATCACACTTCTCATTTTTACTGATATATACATACTTTGATAATTGTGCCCTATCTTTCATTCTTTTCACAACAATTACATTTGTAAGGTTGTGTTTTCTTCGTTTTTAATATAGAAAAGTACGAAAAGAAAAACAAAAATAGCCCTAAACCCGATCGGCCAAATGAGCCCTCTTGATATTTCCGAAAATAAAAAAATATATACACACGCAAGTTTAGAAAATTAAAAGTACTAAGGCTGGATGCAGTGGCTCATCCCTGTAATCCTAGCACTTTGGGAGGCCGAGGTGGGTGGATCACCTGAGGTCAGGAGTTCGAGACCACTCTGGCAAACATAGTGAAACTAAATGCAAAAATTAGCCAGGCGTAGTGATGCATGCCTGTAGTCCCAGCTACCCAGGAGGCTGAGGCAGGGGAACTGTCTCAACCTGGGAGGTGGAGGTTGCAGTGAGCCGAGATTGTGCCACTGCACTCCAGCCTGAGCGACAGAGTGAGACTACGTCTCAAAAAAAAAAGAAAGAAAGAAAGAAAGAAAATTAAAAGTACCAAAAGGTATTGTTGTAGACAGAATAATGTCCCCTCTCTGCCCCCTAAAATGTCCATGTCCTAATCCCCCAAACCCGTGAATCTGTTACCTTACATAGCAAAAGGAACTTTGCAGATGGGATTAAATAAACAGCCTTGAGATGGGGATGATCCTGGGTGATCTAGGCGGGCCCAATGTAATCACAGTGGTCATTAAAAGTGGAAGAGGGAGCAGCAGAGATCAGAGAGATGCCATGTGAGAAGGATTCAACCTGCCTTTGCTGGCTTTGAAGATGGAGGGGAATGTGGGCAGCCTCTAGATGCTCCAAAGACAAGGAAGTAGGGTCTCCCCTAGAGCCTCCAGAAGGCAACAGCCCAGCTGACACCTTGATTTTAGCCCAGTAAGACTGTGCCAGTCTCCCATCATATACAACTGTAAGATGATAAATGTGTGTGAGGTGGCTAAATTTGGGTTAACTTGTTGTAGCAGCGATAGAAAACAGATGCAGGTATAAAATTAAAAAGTAAAATCTTCCCTTCCTTATTTCATAAATCTACTTTCCAAAAGCAGATCCTTTAATGTTCTTCCAGAAAACTGTGACATCCATCCCAAGATACGATATCTGTATCTTCAACATGAGAAAAGTTAGAGGACATCCACAAGAGACTGTTACAATAAAATCCTAAATAAATCTATTCCATGCCTCATTTTCCCAATGCAAAATACTTAACATGAAATTAAATTACTATTCAATAGCACATTTAAAAAAGCCAATTATTCCAGTGATATAATTATTTTTGAGGAAACCAACTATTTACTCCCATTACTTACATCATCCTCTTTAGTTCCACCCCAAAAGTTAGTGCCTCCAGCATAGCTGGGAATGTTCAACACAGCTATGCCTTGCAAGCTGGGAAGAGGAATATATTGCCCATCACACTGTAAGGTAAAAAAAAAAAAAAAAAGGAGAGATTTGATAAAAAGAGCAGAACCACTAGTTTGGAAGATACTAAAACACTAAAGATGAAGGACAATGGAGCAGAGTGTGTTGGTAATGCCCGCTCTCTACACATTACCAAATCATTTATCTTACTTTTTAATTAAAAAAAATTTGAAGTATAAATAACTATAGCAGAAGTTATTACAAAAAACTGATTTTTAAAAAAATGTTTTACCTCTTTCCTCCAAAACCAGACAGTCCTTTTCTCGAGTCATTTTCGGGCCTCTTATGTACTTGCACCTGCATTGTGGTCCTCTATGTACTTATTTTAGGCATCTTTTTGAAAGCAGGATGGGTAAGAGCAAGTTGATCCTAACCATCTCACTTAGCCCTTCTCACAGTCCCTCATACATTGCTGGGGCTCTACAACCACCTGGGGACTGTTGAAACTCAAAGCTGAGTACTTCAAGTAGTTAGAACCAAAGTCAAGCAAAAATATATGCATCTCGGAAAGCTCCTTGCAGTCCTTACTTTCTCATTAATCACTTAAATGAAAAGTAAATTACCATGTAAATGGCAAAAAAGGATATGGCTGGTGAAGGGATGTGAATACATTTTTACTGAGTAGAAGCAGAACTGTTACCTTCTCTCATAAATGTTGTTTCTTAAATTAATTTCAATTAATGCTGTTTATTCTATTAACTCTTAAATAAAGCCTAGTTGGCTATTAAGGAGACAATCAGTTATGAAACTAATTTTTTAAACATTACTCAAGAAAATGATCATAATTATGTTACACACGTTTTATGAGGATCATACTTACTATTTTAATTAACATTTAAACCAAACCACTTGACATTTTTCTAAGTGAACATTTAAATCCAGTAGAAATGTTTAAGCCTTCATTTTAAAAGAGAAGAGCCTGCAGATGTCACACCTACAATGGATGCTATATTTTCATTAAATAATTCTTATATTAAAAATAATTAACATAGCTTCTTAAAAATTACATTTTAATGCCCAGTAAAAATGATTTCCCAACAGAAAGAAATAAACTGTATTTCTGAGACTGTGACAGAATGATTTGTTCTAGGGTAGAAACCAAGGTGAGGGGAAGAATTTCTGTAATGGGACATCTCATTAAAAAGAGCATTAAGTCCCACTGGTCTGGGATGGTTTGGGTTTAGGGAAGATGGAAGGAAAAGGTCTCAATGTCAAGAGTACCAGTATTTTCTTTAATGTCTATTCAGTAGTGAGGTTCTGATTCCCCACGTAAACTGGTGAAAATCCAGGGCAGAGACCAGCAAACATCTGGAAATTGTTACAGCTGGTCCAAGATGACCTCGTAAGAGACTTCTCTGCTCTGTGAATCTGAGGACGGGGAAGAATAAGAGCTTAATGGGGGCGTATAGGAGGTTAATCTCATCCCCAAGTACTGCAAAAAACGTTCACCATCAGAATCACACAGAAGCTTGTGTTTGCTAATTCAGCCAAAGTCAGTTTTTGGGAAGACCTCAGGGACTGGCTTATTGGAATGGTGTAATGGATGAAGGCCAGGATTGGCTGATTTACCTTCACGGGCATTTTTCACAATTCCTTTTATTCTTTTTCATGAAAACACAGTGTTAACCATTAGCAGGTTTAGCTTTTCACATTCAAAGGTCCATGCACCTGCAGGTGTGTCTGGCACATAATTGGTGCTCAATGTATACTTGTTCAATGAATAAATATGAAATACTTAACAGAATAATAAACTTTTTCTCAACTCAATAAACAGATATCTTTATGTGCTTTAGAAAAAGCTGCTTTAAATCATGACTAACAAAGAAAATGGGGAAAAATACTATCTGTAAATATAAAAGAAATATTTTAAAAAGATTTTCCAAATGGATGCACTTTATTTGCAAACATGGTATGGAAAACAATGAACATTTTCAGAAGGAAGTCCCAAGTGTAGTGCTGAACTGAACATGCATATATTAAGCAACACACCTAAATCTAACTGATTAATGTCCATTTCATAGAGTCTCATAGGAAAAAAACGAGGAATACAGATTCAACAAATTAACAAATTCACATGATTCAAAAGTTTCTTAAATCCAGGAAAAACTTCAGGAGTGTTAAACTTTTAAAAAATGTTTCCAATAGCCCCAAATATCCATTATTTTTATTTATTATTTTTGAGAGATGGGGTCTTGCTCTGTCGCCCAGGCTGGCAAGTAGTGGTGCCATCATAGCTTACTGCAGTCACGAAATCCTGGGCTCAAACCATCCTCCTGCCTCAGGCTTCCAAGTAGCTGGGATTACAGGTGCACACCACCAGAGCTGGCCCCCTAGCCATCCCATGTTTCTGTTTGTGGTTCACGATGTTGCAAAATGCTACAAAACTGCAGCTATATATTTTTTCTTATTAGTGTCTGTTTTCTCTGCTCCTTTCACCGGACAATCTGATATGGAGGGAAGATGGTGGAGCTGGATTGAATTCTGTCACTTAGTATTTGGGTAAGTCCCTTAAGCTTTCAGAGCTTTGCTTTGCTCATCTGTAAAATGGGCTAACAATTCTTAGCACACAGTGAGGCCCATGAGATAAGGTAAAGAAAAGCACCTAGAACACACATGGCAAGTCAGTAAATTTCCTTCTTCAGTTATAATTACAAATTGTCTTATGGAAAAAACACTGGATTTGAAATGTTGGCTCTTCCAGTTATCAGCTGTTTGAAATTAAGCAATGCCTTTACTCTTTTGAACTGAATAATACCTACCTCATGAGTTGTTAAGAATTAAAGGTGATATGTAGAAGGCATATAGTAAACTTCATTCAAAATGATTTAAAAAGTAGTTACAACTAGTTATTACGGAAATGAATTAAAGATAGAAATTACTATTAACATAATAAACCAAATTTATTTTGTTTTTTAAAAAGATACAGATTATGGGAAGATTTGAAATAACTAAAAATGTGAATTAGACAACTATTTGTTCTCAATCACATATTTCATTATAGCCTACAGATGAAGGCTATTTTTTAAAGCTATTTGTTTTTCTTCACGTATTTTAGTACTTACAGGATTTGAAGCAATATATAATTATTATTTCAGTTAACAAATAGAACAGGCTGCTTGACCCATGTAAATTAGGTATATTATGGGCAAAAAAAATCATCCTTCTTATGAAAAATGTTTGAAATTTTAATACAATTCTTCCATTTACATGTGAAAGGTATTTCTACTCTAAAAGTAGCAAAATATGATACTGTGATGTTATTTCACGTTTCTGGAATTCCCAGCATTGTCAAAAGGATTCTGAATCTCACTCCAGATTTCTCAAAGTTGGGTATATATCAGAATCACTGATAATGTGGCTTGGGAAACAAAGTTTGTATTTGTACAGTTCTTTTCTATTTACACTGTGATTTACAGTACCTTAGGCTCATTTATTTATGGTTTGCACAAAATCATTATTTTATCAATTTCGTGTATAGGGAAACCAAAGTCAAAGTCTTTGTTCTGCACAAATTTAAAGTTAGGACATGAAGTCAATCTTGTTCCATATCCACAACAGAATAGGGGAAGGAAAACTTAGCTGAGGAAAAAGGTAAGAGTAAAAAGCAAAAAGGAGGGCCACTGGTGAAGGCATCTCTCTGAAAAGAGCCTCCCAAAGTGTGGGTCTCTCTTTTCCACCTTTATCCCGAGTGAACCATCATCAGATACATGACTCTTTAGACAACAGGCCTTCCACCGTCCTTAGAAGTAGAACGTATCTTTTTGATTTACTTTATTATTACGGATTTTTTGTTAACTATGGCAAAGAAGGCTCTACTTTTTCTACTTTATTTTTATGTATATTAACATGTTTTCATTTACCTTGTTTTACTCATTTTATGTACCTTTTTTATCATTTAACATATACATCTACATTAAGTGTTCTTAACTTAAGGTTCAGAAACCAGGAGTCCATGGAAAGAGTCAGGCGATTTATTAACTTCCTGGTAAAAATCCGTATCTTTATGTTCACTAACCTCTGAAGTTTAGCATTGCCCTCAATTATAAATGTAGGGGGAAAAAGGCATTAGTAACACATGTGATTCCATCATCAATAGAAATGAGACATTTTTATATTACATTATAGATGTTTCAGATATCTTGTAATATAAGTTCATCATTACTTTGAAGTTATGGTATTTATTAGGCATGCCATTAAATTTTTATTTGATACGGTAATGATGAAACACATATATTATTCTTTAGAAACATAAAAATATGTTGTTAATTTATTTTAATATTATTGGTAAGTCTTCTTTTGTAAGTCTGTATTTCATATAGTGCATTTGAAAACAATATTCGGAGAAGGGGTCTCTATTTTCACCAGAATGCCAAAGGTGTCTACAACTCAAAAAAGATTAAGAACCTTTTAAAAAGAAGAGTACAAAGCAGCTGTGGAAATAAGATATCTTGTTCAAAATTTGGACCACCAGTAGAAGAGGTGACTAATCCTATTTCTGAAGAGCTGAGGCTCTTCAGGAACTAAGACCATCCAGTCACTCAGATCCAGCTAGTTTTTTAACCCTTAAAGATAGCTGGCTATGCTTGATCACAGCACTTAATGAATTATGCTAAAGTGATCACTTAGCCATCCATTTCCCCCTCAAAACAGGGCCAGTACTGTGCTAACCACTGGAGATAGCAAAGATAAAAACAACCTCCTCTGTGTGCTTGAGTGTGGCCAGGCCGGGCGCGGTGGGGCACACCTGTAATCCCAGCACTCTGGAAGGCCGAGGTGGGCGGACCACGAGGTCAAGAGATGGAAACCATCCTGGCAAACATGGTGAAAACCCATCTACACTAAAAACAGAAAAATTAGCTGGGAGTGGTGGTGCATGCCTGTAGTTCCAGCTACTTGGAAGGCTGAGGCAGGAGAATCGCTTGAACCCAGAAGACGGAGGTTGCAGTGAGCCAAGATCACGCCACTACACTGCAGCGTGGGTGACAGAGCGAGACTCCATCAAAAAAAAAAAAAAAGTGTGGCCAACCAGGGTATATGAAGAAGAAAAGGAATGATTACATGATTAGTAGGGTACCTAAGCTGACCTGGGCCTGGGGTGTCAAGGATAGCATTTACAAAATGTAAACCTTCCTGATTTTGTACCTTTTTATCCAGTAAGTCTATCTTAAATCTTAGAAGCAATAATAAATCAAACCAGCTGATCATACAGCTGTATGTTTAGAGTGAAAAGTATAATAGGCTCATCTTGACTAGGAAATATAGTTGATAAAGAATGAGCTACAGACACCTCATTAGTCAACACTGCAGTGTTTGGATAATACCCCAAATAATAATGCTCTGTTTATTTTGTTGAGTTGTAGACTTAAGATTTTATAATTCTGTATATGTATGATATGCTTTAATTAAAAATATAGAGTTATAAAAAGATACAAAATAGGGAAGACATGCCCATCAGCATCAACAGTGAGTCCTGGATCAAAGGTAAAAGAAAATAAAATTCACAGAAATTAATATTCTTTTCAGAGCCATATCCCCAGCCTTGTTGTTTGTGTTGTTGGAAGAGATAAAATAACTTTTTCTGTCCTTAATTTCCTATTTAAATTAGTAAAAAACAGTAAAACATTTAAATGCTCAAAATCTCTTTTAATTTTACTTGTCGTTAGCAATAATTGGAGCAAAAAATAAATGTACATTTAAATTAAAAGATTCTATTTACTTCAAATGTTATTTTCAGGGATTTGCGAAACTTTGGTTATTACAGAATTGGGTCAGAATTTGGAAGCTTAAATCCATTAAAAACCCTCTCCTATAAATGTGCTCCCTTGGCTCCACTTTTACATGGGGCACCACAACTCCAGAGTAGCCCCAATTTCAGGAACTAATGATGATGATAATTAAGTGTGTCATTCATATCCTGTGTATATAGTTCCTTTAGTACAAAGTTGATAATCACATTCATTTTTCCCTTGTATATTTATTTAATCGCTAATCAAAATGCATTTAGGTCAAATTAGCTCCAAGATGATATTTTTTTTTAAGTAAGATAATATGAGATATCTTTACTTGAAGATGAACTTACCTCAAGTTGAACCCTTTGTTCTAAATTCTTGTACGACCTCTGTAATAACTCCCGGGTTCCAAGCACTCCATACCACATCAAGTTTTTAGTTCGGCTCCTGAAAATAAATATTGGCAGGTAATTTCAGGACATTTTATTTATTTACTCCTTAAAGGCAAAGCAAGCAAAAGAGATAATAAATGAAGAAAAAATTACCTTTATGTAATAGCATTATTACTTTTACTAAAATTACCTGCATTTTTCAGGGTGCTCCTCTCTTTTATTATTAAATTCTAATGAAATTTTTGCATCTAATCCAATCCCAAAGTAATTGTTCATGACACATTTTTCTGAATATCCATCTCTATGATCATAGGGAAAAGTACATCAAAGTCAATTTCAGATTCATGACAACAATTACAATTTGTACACAAGACAGTACTTAAAACCATTTAAGCTTCCATTCCTTATAGCAGATTGTAAAACTTAGCACTAATCACTTCCTATTCCTGTGTCATGTCTACAACCACAGGACATGTGTTCAATTTCTGGTACATGTGACATAAAGGGATGGTGAGCAAGGCAAAACAGACACACAATTATGGTGTGATTTTCTCTAACTGTACCAAAATCTTAGTTCTATTTCTTTTTTTTTATTATTATCTTAGTTCTATTTCTATATAAGTTCCTCACTACACAGAAAAATGCAGATGATTATGGGAAGGCCTTACAGTCAGGTGCCAATTCTCTCTCTTTTTTTTTTGTTTATCGTTAGAAAGTCTCCTCCACTTCTACGCTTAACAATGGACAAATATTTATTGAGCAAAAAAGTCTAGATCCAATCCATTCTTCTAGGTGTTTCGGAACGTTTAAAATATGGTACTGTCCTTGAGGAATGTCATTACAGAAATGATATAACAAAAGCAAAATTTAAAAAGGAAGTAAAAGAAAGTATATCTTGAACTGCCAAAAACTTGTAGGAGTCTGAAGAAGGGAAGAGATCAGCGTGGGCCAACAGATTCCCAAAATAAATAAACCTAGAAGCTGACGTGGAAAGATGACAGATCTGGCAAGACTGAGAAGAAAGGAGGTAAAGGGAATAGCATCAGTTCTATTTATTAGTCCCTTCCTTTGCCAGAGGGTTGCTCTCAGACAGAACGGGCGGGCTGGAAAAGGACCCACCTCAGGGACAGACCATGGAGACCACTGAATTTTAAAGGTCTCCATGTGCTTGGCACGATCAACTTTTGTAATTTTCTGATCATCCTTTTTATACATGGGACCCTATTTATTGTAATACGTGTAAAATGTGACAATTCATGTTGAAAAGAAACAAGAAGAACCCAAACAAAATATTTGCAAAAGCATTTTCTTACACGGAATCTGGATCTGGGTCAATAAACGGCGTGGCGCCGAAAGGATCAATGTTTGCTAGTAACATTTTGTTGATAATTGAACTCCCAGCAATAGAGGCAGCCAGTCCTGCTCTCAAACCTGGACAGAAAAACAAATACAGATGGGATCGCGTGTTAAGAAAAAAACAGAGAAAGAACCAGTCCATGCAGGCCTAATGTCAAATATCTTACTTTTAAAAGCATGGTTTTCAGTGCCTACTCTTCTCATTAGTCAAAATTAAGAACAATGACATTTGTGAATACAAGGCATTCGACACTTCCAAGGATCTATATATATAAAGAATTAAGGAGAGGAGGACCTAAATAGGAATGGCTTTGTGACACTTTCCCATTTACCATCCCAATAATTCTATAACAAATAATTCTATAACAAATACATGTTACTTCCTTTGTTATAGCAAAGATGGTATTAAGTCTGTAAGGAATTTACAATAAAGGTGGAATTACCCAAAATGTCATGGAGTTATCACTTCAATATTCTCAAACCATAGATAATGATACTCAATTTAAAATACTAAGAGATGTATTAAGGTGAAGACTCACTGTTAGTTTTAAGAATAAGTAGTAAAGTATTAAAGTAGGTATCTGTGAATTTTAGAAGAATATAGTATTAAATATAAAAAATGAAGCCTCTATCTTACTTCAAATTTATTTCACCATGCTTTCCAACTAGTTTTCTAACTGTTACAGTATTCAAAGCTAATGAATTTTATGATCTACTCAACCCAATATGAAAGCTAGAAGCACTAAAGTCTGGAGAGGAGACAAACTAATAGGGACCTACAAGAACAAGGGAAACACGAGGAAATTAGAAAAACAAGTTCCTTCTTTTTCTTTTTATCTTCTTTAGAGATGAGTCTCACTCTGTTACCTAGGCTGGAGTGCAATGGTGCGATCACAGCTCACTGCAGCCTCGATCTCCCGGGGTTCAAGCAATCCTCCCACCACAGTCTCCCAAGTAGCTGGGACTACAGGCATGTGCCACCATGCCCAGCAAGTCCTTTCTTTACCAAACATTCCTTTCCTCAGCACTATGCTCTTCTTAGGGAATTATTATCATTCACTATTTTAATGTTTAGGCAATTATCAAATACAATGAATTTTGTTCTTTCGTTTAATGACATAGTTTTGAATATACTGTGGCATATTTCTTTATGCCAATTTCCTTTATGTCTAAACAAGTAAATGAATGAAGAAAACAATAAATTTAGTAAGCATAAAGAACAGTTTGGAGAGGTGAGAGCCACACTCCAGCTGCCGCAGAGGAAAGTGTTAATAATATCTTCCTTCCTTCCTTCCTCCCTCCCTCTCTTTCTTTTTTTCTTGACAGAGTCCCACTCTGTCGCCCAGGCTGGAGTATAGTAGCATGATCTTGGATCACTGCAACCTCTGCCTCCCAGGTTCAAGGGATTCTCCTGCCTCAGCCTCCCAAGTAACTAGGATTAAAGGAGTGTGCCAGCATGCCTGGCTAATTTTTGTATTTTTAGTAGAGACGGGGTTTCACCATGTTAGCCAGGTCTCAAACTCCTGACCTCAGGTGATCTGCCTGCCTTGGCCTCCCAAAGTGCTGGGATTACAGCCGTGAGCCACCGTGCCCAGCCAAGCCAAGTGTTAATATTTTCTAAGATGTTTTAGGGTTAGCCATATTCCTTTCAACTTTATTCCAGAGGGGTTATCCCAAGGTTCCTAGTTGGAATAGGAACACAGCTTCTAAATCTGAAGGCCTTTCCAGAACCAGTTTGTTCCAGATTGATCTTTCTTTTTCTCTTTTAATATTTCTATTCTGATACAATTGATATATTATAAAATTAACCCTTTTAAAGTTTTTAGATAATTCAGTTGTTTGTAATATATACACCAAGTTGTGCAACCATCACTATTAATTCTAAAACCTTTTCGTTTCCCTGCAAAGTAATGGTGCACCCACTAGCTGTTATTTTCCATTCCATCGATCACCTCACCTCCAGTTCCTTGGGAACCACGATCTACTTTCATACTTATTCTGCGCATTTCATACAAACGCAGTCATATTACATTTGGCTTCTAGGTTCACTTTCCATAGTGTTTCTATATAGCATGTATCAGTGCTCCATTCTTTCTAATGGGTAGGTAATATTCCATGGTGTGAATATATCACTTTTGTTTACCCATTCAACTGATGGATGTTTGGGTTGCTTCCACTTTGGGACTATTGTGAATCCTGCTATAAATAGTCAAGTACAAGTTTTTGTGTAGACATGTATTTTCAATTCTCTTGGGTATATACTTAGTAGTAAAATTGTTGGGTTACATGTAAACTCTATGTTTAACTTTTTGCGGGACTGTGAAACTATTCTTAAAATGGCTGCACCATTTTACATTCCTACCACCAATGTATGAAAGTTCTAATTTCTTCACATCTTTGCCAATATTTGTTATCATCTGTCTATTTTGATCACAGTTATCTTAGTGGCATAATGGGGCAACTCGTTATGGTTTTAATTTGCATTCCCCCCGTGACTAATGATGTTGAGCATCCTTTCGTGTATTTATTGGCTATTTGTGTATCTTCTTTGGGAAAATGTCTATTTAGATTCCTTTCCCATTTTAAAAGCAAGATATTTACCTTTTTATTGTTGAATTTTAAGAGTTCTTTATATGTTCTGGATACTAGACCTTTATCAGATATATTATTTGTAAATTCTTAAGTTGTCATTTCACTTTCTCAATAGTGTCCTTTGAATCACAATACTATTAATTTTGGTAAAGTCCAATTTATTTGTCTTTTGTGGTGTGTGCTTATCATATCAAAGAAATCACTGCCTAATCCAAAATTATGAATAATTTACATCAATGTTGTCTAAAAATGACTACAGAGAGACTTATGGCTTAAAACTAAAAGGATTCAGCAGAATGCTGACTAAAAAACACCAAAAGGAAAGCTTAAGAAGTAGCAGAACGTAAGTTCAGACTTACTTTGGGAACTTAGTAAATGCAGATTCCTGGACTCCACTCCAGAACTACCAAATCATAATTTCTCAGGGCAGGACCCAGAAACACGTGTGGTTTTTTTGTTGTTTGTTTTCTGAGACGGAGTCTCACTCTGTCTCCCAGGCTGGAGTGCAGTGGTGCGATCTCAGCTCACTGCAACCTCCACCTCCTGAGTTCAAGCAATTCTCCTGCCTCAGCCTCTTGAGTAGCTAGGATTACAGGTGTGCGCCACCACACCCAGCTCATTCTTTTGTATTTTTAGTAGAGACAGGGTTTCACCATGTTGGCCAGGCTTGTCTCAAACTCCTGACCTTGTGATCTCCCCATCTTGGCCTCCTGAAGTGCTGCGATTATAGGCGTGAGCCACTGAGCACGGCCAAAACATGTGTTTTAATACTTTCTAGGCAACTGCTATACAGGGAAGAATCTAGGGGCCTAGATTCTGACTGAAAGTATAACAAGAACAGTCTACTAAAAGAACATTTATCTTTAAGAACATGTTTCCACAGTAATGGAAATAAATACTTCACATTTTCACAGAAATACTGAAAAATACACAATGTTTCAGAATCTGTACTACCTGGGCAGATTATTCTGGTATTGAGCACAGGGAGGTTTTCTTTGCTGGCTGCCACAGCTGGACCAGGGACAGAATCAGTTTGGGAATGGCCATGACTTGCCCGGGCATCTGGAGACCGAGGTGCAGTTTTAACTGTTGGCAAAAAGTCCAGATTAAAAAGAGACAATGATAAAGCTATAAAAATAAGCAAGTTCCTATAAATTTAAAACATAAAATAATGTTTAAATCAATCAGTAGAAATGAAAATATCATGCATAGCTATTGTTTACATTTTCTTGAGACTTACATGGAGGGAATCAGAAGTCTTGATTCCTCATCTCAAATAGAAGAAGATCAGTAGAAATAGATGTCTACCATAGTTAAAGGTCACTAATACTCATAATGTGAATATGATCAACTCACACTTAAAGATAAATGAAACTTTTAAAGTCTGCTTATTTTTGAAAATGAAACACATGTGTTATAATGCACCCTACCCATGTAATCCTTTTCTCATAAATATCAAATGAATGATCAAATTTAATTAATGTAATTCCCGGAGCAAACACATGAAACATGATTTAACATTGCCTTCAATAAATGGAAGAGGCTAGGTGTGGTGGCTCATGCCTGTAATCCCAGAGCTTTGAGAGGCTGAGGCAGGAGGATCGCTTGAGGTCAGGAATTGAAGACCAGACTGGGCAACATAGCGAGACCCTGTCTCTACAAAAATGTTAGCCAGGCATGGTGGCATGCACCTGTAGTCCCTGCTACCTGGGAGGCTGAGGCTGGAGTGATCACATGAGCCCAGGAGTTTGAGGTTACAGTGAGCTATGATCACATCACTGTACTCCAGCCTGGGTGACAGAATAAGACTCTGGCTCATAAATAAACAAATAAATGGAAGAAAAATAGCATCTATCTTCAAGTGAAATTAACATATTCTTCCTGTACTTCTTAATTATTTATTCAAAATGATGATTTGCCCAAACAGTTCTATCATATTCCTGTAAAAGTTCAATACATGTGAAAAATTATTCTAAAATATAATTATTCTCAAAGTAAACAACAAAAAGAAAGATTTAACTCTAAACTGAGGCAAGTTAATGCAGAGCAAATGGTACCTTTAACCAATTTAGGAGTTACTGGTAGGTATTTTTAAGAAACAGTAATTCTCAAACTCAATTTTAAAATACTCTAAAACTTAATTATCTTCACTGTCCCTAAAACTAATTACAAGCTAACTATATTAATTTTACACTCTATTCTCTCATTCAAAACCAGTCCCATTGCAGTAAAGTAACAGAACAGCCACCCCTTTTTAAAATAGATAGGACTCCTGGGCTAATTTCTCATAAAAACAACTTTTTGATGTTCAACTCTGACAAAAAGCAGGGAGTGTACTAATGACTAAGACTGATGTTCCATTACAGGTAACTAAATTAATGTTTTCTGGTTCTTCTTAAATAAATAATCTCATCAATCATATTAATATACTGTCTCACATCTCAGACATATGAATTATTACATGACACAATAAATGTGCCTCAAAAAGTAGTATTTCATATACTTCTACTTCTACTATTGCTACTGATTTCCAACAAGTCAGATTATTAGCCAAAATAAAGACCAAATACTGTACCATTAAAGACTTTTCTAAATCTGCGTCTATTCCAGTATCAACATTTACAGCACTATATTTGTATTTTTTAATTTCCTTTACAGGCCACAGTGGAAGTGTCAAGTTTAAGAGTATGGTAAGGTGGGATGATAACCAGTTGGAAAACCATTAAATAAGCTTTGACAAACCAATCCTAACAGCCATCATCTTAGGAGGAATTATTAGCGTATAGTAAGGATGCCATTGTCAGCTCTGCTTTAATCAATACTTTCTAATAGATGAAAATATCTAAGCCCTGCTTATCAAATTCACAGATGAAATAAACTTAAGATGATAGAATCAAGCTTCACAAGACTTCACAGGATGAAATAATGGATCTAAATAAAAAAGATAAAAGTTCATTGGGATGAGTGTAGACTACTATAATTAGGTTTTAAAAAAGAGAAGTCTTGGGTCGTCTTTGTAACATCAAAAATGTCCTGAATGAGTAGTGTACGGGTACCAATGTGCTAATACACCACAGAAAATATCTGAAGAATTTTGTTTAAAAGAGTGCATCACATTTTAAGATAAACATTGACCAAATGGGTGCAACCAGAAAAACAAAAGGTTTAAAATCATCAACTTAAAAACTGGTAGAGAAATTTTAGGGTCAATCATCTGGAAAAGAACATGTAAGGTGAGAGAAGGTCTGACGCCACCAAAGCTGTTTTCGGTATCATTTAAGGGCGGCCACATGAAGAAGAAAAAGAAAGAAGAAAGAAGAAGGAAGAAGAAAGAAGAAGAAGAAGAAGAAGAAAGAAAAGGGGAAGAAGAAGAAAAAGAAGAAGAAGAAAGAAGGGAGGAGGAGGGGGAGGAGGAAGAGGAGAAATAACTCCAAAGGCAGAGTCCTCTTTGATATAGTGAAATGTATATGAAATTGCTCCTTAAACTAACCATAAGCACTACATAAAGGCCAGTAGTTGTTACCGTCAAACTATCACTCATAAAACCTAATAATTACTGTAATCATGGGTAGAAATTTAAGGGAGAAAATAGAAAGCTCAATATAAAGAATGACTTTCTAACAATTAGAGCTGACCATAAGAGGGGGGTGTATTGAAAGTCAGTGGTCCTAAGGCTCGTGGCCATCTGCTTCAAGGGTCCTAGAACATGCCTGCATTGGGTTGTATGCTGAACATGTGAGGTCCATGAGGTCTGATTTCAAAGTCTTTAAGAGTCTCAAGTACAATGAAATATTCTCTCACAGTTAATGTAATTAGTGGCAGCAGCAGCAGCAGTAGCAATAAAAATAACAACAATAAAGATGACAGTGAACACTCAGACAGCACTATCTACCAGACACTATTCTAGGCACTTTACATACAGTAACTTTTCAACCTTCGCAACAACCCAATGAAGTAGGTAGATTATTATCCTCATATGAGAGATGAGAAAACCACAGAGGTTAAGAAATTTGCCCAAGTTTATAAGTAGTGAAAGTAAAAGCAAAAAGTTAATGATTGCAAACATTTTAAAAATTTTTTTGAGAATAAGATAAAAACAGGTATTTAAATTTCAAATAATTTTATCAATTATCTTTCCTTTTACTTACTAAGTTTACATTCTACTTATTTAGCTTCATATTAAAGCTAGAACTCAGCAACAACATATTAATAAACCTACCATCTAATTTTTTTCAAAGTTAACAAGTAATGTTTCAAACACGTAACGTTTAAAATGTACTCACTACTACTAGTTCTGTAGGAAATCGGCCATAAACATGGGGAATGAAAGGTCTTCATCGTGCCAGAGCTCAGGCAGAAAATATTAATCTGATATGGTCAGCTCTCCATAAATTTGATTTTTTTCATTGTATGAAAACGTTTCCTTTTTTATAATTTCAACTTTTATTTTAGATTCAGGGGGACGTGTGCAGGTTTACTGTCTGAGTATACTGAGTGATGCTAAGGTTTGGGGTATGATTGATATCATCACCCAGGTACAGAGCACAGTACCCAATAGTTAGCTTTTCCACCATTCCCACCCTCCCACTTCTAGAGTCCCCAATGTCCATTGTGACTGCAAACAGTTCTGATATAATGGTGCTGACTTTTCATAAGTGCCATGTATTTATTTTTGTGTTGCCTCATCTTCATTAATATTTTAATTTCTGCTTTTATTCCAGTAAGTTAGAAACTTTTCCCTTAGGCAATATAAAATATTAAAAGTATAAATTCATTTTCAATTAAAATCTAAAAGGTAGAAAAATATTTAACATTCTTCAGGCGATTACATATTCCTTTCCTTACAAAAATAATTTCAACAAAGCAAGGCCTGTAATTGGAAGTCCTGTGATTTTAAAGCTTGCTTTAAAGTCCTATGATTTTGAAGCTTAATAAGGACTATCAACCCAGAAGGCTGATTGATGGAACTGAAGGGACTGCTGAATCACTTACATGCCCAATTTTGTGCATTTGGAGCGTTAGGAGAGCTGTAGCTTTCTTACAATTCTCAAAGAAATCTGTGAGCTATAATGGGTTCAAATCAGATGATTTAAGTGTTTCTTTCCTCTTTCCTCAGGAAAACCAACATATTTAATCATCCTTAGTCCTATAATCCTTAGTTTACTGTTACATCTCTAGATTACATGATAAGAGAGGGATGTGAGAGTACTGGACAATAGTCTAATCTTAATTATTTTATTATTCATGAATATCTATCTAAGCATTAACTTCCAAAAAGCCTCTTCAAAAATAAAAATACAAATAGTTTTTTTCAAACTGATCAGCCTTTTGAAAACTAAAAGCAAAATGACATTTTATTTAATTTCAAAATAATTTTTTTCCCGTTTCCTCACCAGTTAGTGATTCTTTGGAACCATCGTCTTTGGCTTCCTCCTTAGACTCATCTGTTTCTGTGCTGTCATAATCAGAGGACTGATTAGCTGGTTCACAGGGGTGAACTGTCGGGTCATCCATAACTTCAGGTAGTAAGAAGACAAACAGTTTGGATAGGTAAAAATAAAGTCCATTAATATTAACATATGCTTAGGAAAGGAAAATTGAAACATATGCTAAAAGAAATTCCAGATTCACAAATAAACACTATTTAGCAATGAACTTGGGGCTGAGGTCTGAAGAACTAAAGATTAAAAACTAAAGTTGCTAAAATTATATTTTTAACAGAATAAAAAAGTAAAGTATAAGATTTTAGAGAATGACATACAAGTTACAACCTATAAAGGGGTTTTTGAACATTAATTATTCCTATTAACATTAACATTCAGACCATAGCTAAAATTCTGAGAAGTACGGATATACACATTAATTAAAACAAGGCAGAGCTTTTATAAGCTCTTAATAAAGCAACATAAACATCTGGGAAATTAATGTTAAGAAAATAGTTTCTGGCAGGGTGCAGTGGTTCACGCCTGTAATCCTAGCACTTTGGGAGGCTGAGGTGGGTGAATCACTTGAGCCCAGGAGTTTGAGATCAGCCTGGGCAACGTGGTGAAATCCCACCTCCACCAAAATTACAAAAAATTAGCTGGGTATGGTGGAGCACATCTGTGGTCCCAGCTACTGAGGAGGCTGAGGGAGGAGGATAGCTTGAGCCTGGGAGGTGGAGGTTGCAGTGAGCTGAGATCACGCCACTGTACTCCAGCCTGGGCAACAGAGTGAGACCCTGTCTCAAAAAAATTTTTCTTTTCTATATTTTCAAAGTAGGTTTACAGGTTTGACTTTCTTCAAGAATTCAACAGATTCCAATTAAGTAAACTATATCTAAATTTTTTTCTATGTCATTTAAACTAGTTTTATATTTTAGATAGAAATGTTTCAATGTAACTTATTTCTGATATTTTATTTTATTCCTCACTAATATGCTGATTCTTACTACTACTATTACAATATATAAGACTATGTACAAGTTTTCTTATAATGACTTTATCTTCTATCTTGCCTTAAAGATTTTGTTTTTAAAGAGTGTGTCCAATCTGACCACTATGAAAACTCTGTTATGCTTGCAGTAGAAATGCTGCCAACTTCTTCCAAAGCTTGTTAATGTGTACCTTTTCCAGCTTCCTCGATGACTTGCCTCACTGCTTTCTTTAAACTATTCGCCCGCAACATGATTTCTCTTGGTTTGACGGCTTTCTGGGAAGAAGGTTTGGTAACGTCATCCACGAGCTGTTCTTTGCTTTCACCCAGGGACTCTTCACTGGACGATTCCACAGCATCTTCCTCCACAATGAGAGGGCTGAGGCCAGGGAGAACAGGTGCAGCCTGGGAATCTGTGTGCAAAGCCTGCAGCAGTTGTTCGAGCTTCTCGTTCAGGACTGAACACTGAGAGGAAAATACGGCAATGAGAAAAATATTCAAAAATAATCAAGATCAGCAGACAAAGTACAAGAAATTTTTATAGAGATGTTTTGAAGTGTAATTACTAGAGAGAAAAACACTAAAATTCCCACCTTTAATTTTGTAGATGCTTTGGTTCTGGAAGCTGCTAATTTTAAAACCTCCATTTAGTAGAGATAGACAATGATAATCTAAATTATGGTTTTTGATTTAGAGGGATGATGTCTTTATTGATGTTTACTACATGGAATAATTTATAATTTTTTAAGTTGGCACAATTATTACAGAATTTCATTGATTTGTAATTTCAGAGTCACTCAGACTCCATTTCATGGGGAAAAAAATCTTTACAATGTGTACACAGCTATTTTTCTTAAAATAACACAACAGACACTTTATACAAAGTGATGCTTTATGTAAAAAATTACACAAAATTTGCTATACATTATAACAAAACACTGGATCAACTTTTTTAAAAAAGTAACTGACTTAATGTACCATTCTGAGCATCACAAACGGCACGTCTGGATAGGCCGCAGCAAACTCCCCTTCAAAGCTTTGGTTTGCAAAGGGGTGAACAATGCCTAAGGGATTATTGGCTCAAAGAAAGTGCAGGAAGGAAAAGGCACAAGGATAAGGAGGGAAAAGAAGAGGAATACAGAAAGAAAAGCATGCACTAGGCAAGCCCTTGTTTCTTTCTGCTTTTCTTGTATTACAAGAGGTGAAGAAACATTTAGGACTGAAGCTGTTGATGCTACCCCCAATATACTTTTCATCTCCATAAAATTTCCAGTCCCTTTCCTCCTCATCTATTTGTCTTTGATGATATGCTGAGACAAGATTACAGCAGAAATAGTTTAGAAACAGAAGTATGGCCAGAAAGGGTGTCTATTTTCTGAAACTCTCCACAGAGCAGAAAGACAAGAGAAAAAAGCAGAAAACTTCAAATATATATTTATTTCTATTTTCTTTTCCTTCCACTCAATTTAACTGCCATCTCCAGCACAGATTTGGGGAAGCTGATTCGTTTGCAAGTCCGAGATACTCAAGCCTTTTGTAAGAAGGTCCCTGTTGTGAACTTATGAAAGCAAAGGTAGTAGTTTTTACGGTTCAGTAAACTGTTCTTACTTTAGTTTATAAAAGGGGAAAGAAGGCCGGGTGCGGTGGCTCAAGCCTGTAATCCCAGCACTTTGGGAGGCCGAGACGGGCGGATCACGAGGCCAGGAGATCGAGACCATCCTGGCTAACACGGTGAAACTCTGTCTCTACTAAAAATACAAAAAACTAGCCAGGCAAGGTGGCAGGCGCCTGTAGTCCCAGCTACTTGGGAGGCTGAGGCAGGAGAATGGCGTAAACTCAGGAGGCGGAGCTTGCAGTGAGCTGAGATCTGGCCACAGCACTCCAGCCTGGGCGACAGAGCGAGACTCCATCTCAAAAAAAAAAAAGGGGGGGGAAAGAAATCTCTAAAGAAAAAGGCAATGCAAGAAGCAGCACTCTGAAAGAGACCAAGAATTGTAATGTCTAGGAAATCCAAAGAACCATGCTGGAACAGAGCTGAACTGGGCCCAAATCTGCTTGGAAATGGAAAGCCTTGCTTTCCCCACTGGAACCCAGCTGCATGGGGTCCCCTGTGGTCTGATTGCTATGCATCTGCCCTTCAGTCAATCATGGCCAGGTGTGCTGGCTCACACTTGTAATCCCAGCATTTTGGGAGGCTGAGGCAGATGGATCACCTGAGGTCAGGAGTTCGAGACCAGCCTGCCCAACATGGTGAAACCCTGTCTCTACTAGAAATACAAAAATTATTTGAGTGTGGTGGCAAGCATCTGTAATCCAGCTACTTGGGAGGCTGAGACAGGAGAATCGCTTGAACCTGGGAGGTGAAGGTTGCAGTGGGTAGAGATAGCGTCACTGCACTCCAACCTGGGTGACACAGCAAGACTCTGTCTCCAAAAAAAGTCAATCACTGGGACAGGGATGTGAGTTAGGTTTTCAGCAATGCAGTTTTCCTACATATTAAAGTGTAACAATAAAATAGAATATTTTAAAAAATCCTCAGATCTGATCCAAAGTAATTTTTCTTTCAATTTAAGATGTTTTGGCAGGAAAACCACTTAATCAATTTAGCTCTGAAACACAGCTGAATGTGAGCATTGTGTGTAAACAACTCTCATGCCCTGAAGGGTCCCCTCTTACTTTACTGGCTACGGCATCAGCTACAACGGCATTTTCCAAGGTTTTGTCATATGTCTTCTCTACTTTGGCAACGAAGTCCTTTACAGTTTCACATAGTGTCCTTTGAGGAAAAGAAGTTGTGCAATTTAGTAAGCTTCATGAATTGATTTGCTTTGATTTATGAATATATTTAAAAAGAAACACAATTCAGCAAACTGTCAAATATCTGGGTCATCTGTACATAAATCTACGCTTCTATCTGCTGTGCAGTTTGTCTCACATAAGTTCAAGACATTCTAAGTGATAAATGCATACATGAATAAGCCTTGCTGTATATTACTTAAATTATAGTAATTAATGTTATAACAAGCTATCCTCAAATATTTAAATTAAGTATTTGTAGATCCCATTTAAAAATGATAAAGCATTATCTTGCTTTCTCCACTGGAATTCTAAAGCTTATATATTTTCATAACAGAAATTGCAGTGTCGAACAAAGATAAGATTATCACTTGTCACTGTCAAGCCACTGCTCATCATATGGATATTTTGATTGTTACAGTTACAATATATTATTACTGAAGAGAAAGAGATTGTGCATTATGCTGAAAACAAATCTGCCACTTGAGTTATATTCTCTGTAAATCTATTCATTTCTTCCTTGAGATAACCAATGCGATAACTACAAGACTAATTTAGGTCTTGTTAGTGTCAGCAGTATATGGTTTACTTGTTTGTTTATTTTAATTACATTTGGCTTCTTTGCAATAGAAATAAGCTAAAAGGCAAAATAACTTGAAACACTAACAAAATCTGCCTTTGAAAGGCTTTGGATCTGGATCTGGATCTGGTGTTGGATTAAAAACAACAATCAACAGAATGGTATATGACCAGCTTTTTTAAAGCAAAGGCTTATGCTGATAGAATCAGGCTATTTTTTAAATCATACTATTGCCCTCTATCATTGATATAAATTGAGAAATTTAAATTAAAAAAAGGTTCTAGCAGTTATCTTTTCTATTACACTCACAACTTTCTCTGGTAGTTGAGTGGCAAAATGGTAAATTTCCATATACTTCAGTATTATGAACTTGAGCAATTCAACAGATACAGGACACACACACACCACCACCACCCCTCCCCCAACAGACGCACACACTACCAACCTTCAGATTTATCATCTCGGAAATTGTATTACTTCTAATAATTTTTGTTTTTTTTTATAGCAAACATTTCTAGATTTTATTTGAACAAAAGGTAATATTTTCTAATCCTGAAACTTCCTCGTTGGCTTTTTAAACTCAAATTTCTACAGAGAATCTAGCGTATCATTTACTAGACATGCATTCAAGTACTTCGTGTCAAGTTTTCTTTGATCAAGAACAATACTTCATGGGATTTCTTGAAATATAACACTATCACCAAATCTCTTCTATGCATTTTACTGAAAGCATCTGTAAGATGCGCTACTTTAAGGAAGAGAAGCATTGATGCCTCTTTCTGTAACTCCAAAATAGAGGTTTTTCTTGCCATTATTATAACATCGTCTTGACATAATTTTCTCTTGGTTTGTGAAACTGCATATGTCATATCATTATCAGAACACTTTTGTTGGTATTTTACTCACTCCTAGAGACAGAGCCCTTCAGCCCATCAGCCTAGAAATGAAAAGGGCAGCAGGAGTGCCCCTCCTCAGTGTGCCACGTCACTGAGCCAACAGAGACTGACAGAGACACTATGATCCTGTGACAGTGGTGGCCAAAGGAGCTGAGGAAGGGGCAAGTGAAAGTTAGGAGAGTGCTCGTCACACAAGTGTGGAAAGAATCAGAAGACATGCTTTATCTTATGGCTCATTAAGTTCCATACGCTAGAAGGAATATAGATATTTATATTCTGGGGGAATGAAGTAACCTTTTATTATACCTAAATAGTGAATGTAGAGTTATTAAAACAGAAATAAAATATATTCTTAAAAATAGTATGATTGCAAAGTCCTACCAACCAGAAACTTGCAAATTGGAGAAAAGACAATCTTAAGATGTATTTACTAGAGGAAGACAAAAGATACTCTCCAACTATACACACAGTTTTCTACTTTATGCATAAGACTTCCAGAAAAGATGTGCAAAAGTCAAATAAGTGAAAGTAGAGCACAGATTTTCCCATAGAGATTAAAAAATTCTAAATTCCCAATTATATCTTTAATCAATGTTAGAACTCTAAAAAATAATAAAATGTTTAGAGACAGGGATCTTGCTCAGTTGCCTAGGCTGGAGTGCAATGGTGTGATCATAGGTGACTGCAGCCCTGAACTCCTGGACTCAAGTGATCCTCCCAGCTTAGCCTCCTGAGTAGCTAGGACCACAGGTACATGTCACCACGCTGAGCTAATTAAAAAAGAAATGTTTGTAGAGATGTAGTCTCTCTGTGTCGCCCTGGCTGGTCTCTAACTCCTGGCCTCAAGCAGTCCTCCTGCCTTGGACTCCCAAAGCAATGAGATTACAGAGGTGAGCCACTGCGTAAGGCCTAGACAGAACTTTTGGTATTTCCAACATTTTATTTCTTTAATTTTGTTCTCTTCCTTCAAAATTGAACATAGTCAACTGTGTGAACCAAATACTCAGTTGAGGCTAACAACAGTCCACATTTCACATACCTGATGATTTCCACCATCATCTCCACTATATTACATATGTTAGACCCATACTTCTCATCACTAGTATTAGTACCCTCATTTACCAGCTTTCCACTTAATTTCTGAAAGTATGGGCAAATGACAATAAAATATGCACATACTACACTAAGATAAATCTGGCAATGGTACCCAGACAGAATCATAGATTGGCAGGCAGGGTCATCGTTTGGGAATCTGAAAAATTCATTTTTCATCTAATAAAAAGTTCCAATTTGAAACTGAAGACGATTTAGAAGTATCAGCGCATAACACATAAAAATCTCTAGCTATCTTTGTCTCTAGCTAGATTGTGCTCTGGGGAAATATTTTTAACAACTACCTCCCTTCACTAATTAAATGAGGCAGGTTGGCCTAAATTATCCCTAAAGCAGGTTCCAAATCTAAACTCTATGGTTCTATGACAATGGCGTCAATATTCCTGCTAGTTAGTTATCCCATTTTCTGAAACTTTTGTATACAGAACAAATTGCATTTATTTTAAAACTTGGGGGGTGAGTAGAGTGCATAAGTAAAAATCCTAATTAACTCCAACTGTTAAAGCTAAAAAAGTTTTAAAACTATTGACTAAATAAAAGGAGAGACATATATTGCAGCCAAAGACAACTTACTTAATAACTGGTTTTCATTTTTATTAATAAATGGCATCTATGATTGCTAATTAGAGCTGTGATTCTCAGAAGATAACTCCTATTACCATATCAAATTGATGAAGTGCTAAGGTCAAAGAAATGTTGTTTTAGGTTAACCCATATGTTAGCTATGTTAGTGGAATACAACTTTTCCACTAGCATTTCAACATTTTAAAAATAACTGAAAACAGTTAAGGCTACCAGGAATTATTATTGTATGAAATAAATACAAACATACACAAGAGGGTTAAAACATTTTGCCTTAATGTTGTATCACTGAATAAATAAATGACATTCACAAAATAAGGGAATTCTTTATCTAGGTGGTAATTACAAGTGTGTGTCTGTGTGTGTGAGAGAGAGAGAGAGAGACTGCGTGTACATGCAGTATTTTTTTAATCATTGAGTTGTGCTCTTGTGATTTAGGTGCTTACTGTACATGTCATGCATCAGTAAGAATTGTTTTTTAAAGGGAAACCATTATAGATTTTTTTAAGATTTTTTTTTTTTTTTAAAAGACTGAGTCTCACTCTGTCATCCAGGCTGGAGTGCAATGGTGCGACCACAGCTCACTGCAGCCTCGAACTCTCATGCTCAAGCGATCCTCTCACCTCAGTCTCCTGAGTAGCTAGGACTACAGGCACATACCACCACACCCAGCTAATTTTAAAATTTTTTTGTAGAGAGGGGATTTCACTATGTTGCCCAGGCTGGTCTTGAACTCCTGGGCTCAAGTAATCCTCCCAACTTGGCCTCCCAAAGTGTTGAGATTATAGGCATGGACCACCATGCCTGGTCAAGATTTTTAAAGTCTTAAAGAGATATCACTCAAATGTAGTGTGTGAACTTTGTCTGAATTTTGAACAACTAAAGTAAGTGTGTGTGTGTGTGTGTGTGTGTGTGTGTGTGTGTTTTAAAGACCTTGTCAAAATTCAGACAAGGTTCACAAAAAAACCTCTGAGAAAACTAGGGGAAATGGGACATGGCTTAAGTAATATTGATGGTATTAGAGAATTATGATTAATTTTTAGATTTTTTAAAAGATTATATGCGTTCACACACACATACAGTCAGCCCTCTATATTCATGGGTTCCATTATCTATGGATTCAACCGACCATGGATTGAAAACATTTGAAAAAGAAAACAGATGGTTGTGTCTACACTGAATATGTGCAGACATTTTTTTGTCATCATTCCCTAAACAATACAGTATAACAACTATTTACATAGCAAATACATTCGTTATTATAAGTAACCTAGAGATGATTTAAAGTATGTGGAAGGATGTGTGTAGGTTACATGCAAATACTATGGCATTTTCTATGAGGGACTTAAGTACCTGTGAATATTGGTATCCAAGGGGGTCCTGGAGCCAATTCCCCATGGATAGAGAGGGATGACTATATGCCAAAAGAGTAGTAGAATAATTTTCAGGATGTTCTTAGAGATACTGTAGCAAAATAAAGTAGGAAGCAGATGGCAAAATGTTGATAAATACTGAAACTGAATGATGGGTATGGTGGGAAGTAATTATACCAGTTTTCTTTGAAAATGTCCATAAAAATGAAATTTAGAGATGCTAAGCCACTGCCCATTTGCAATGGCGCATGGAACTCAAAGCTGCACCTCCAGTGTGGCCCCTCTGGCCAGCCAGGCACCTCCAATGAGACCTGCACCCAGGCCAGCACCAGCAGCTCAGCTGCCAGCAGTGGCCCCACCCTCTGCAGTTGAGTCTCCTACTGCTGCACCCTGGCAGCCAGGTCTGATGGTCCAGATGGCAACCACTGCAGCTGGTGTGGCTGCGGGCCCTGCTGTGGGGCACACACTGAGTCAACTATCATGGGAATGGGGGCCTTCGACAGAGGAGGTAATGCTGGGCTCACGAGGCCTGACATCACTTACCAGGAGCCTCTGGGAGACTAGCTGCACAGCAGCAGCAGCCTTGCTTGTGTAAGACAGAACAGTTTCTGGAGCGTGCCCAGAACTAGCGTGACATCAAGCTCGGTGAGGGTTCCAATGAGGTGCTGAAACAGTGCAGACGTGCACATGTACTGGCCTAATCAAGAAGTTCAACTGAAGACACAGAAAATCGGCTTTCATGACCAAGTTAATTTAGCATAAAAATGTAGGTATAAAGTGTGAAACCAGTAGTTAAGGTGAAGCAGTTATGGTGAAGGTATAAAGTGTGAAACCAGCAGTTAAGCCTCTCCTCTGTCATTCACAGCTTCCTTACTTCAGAATTGCAGTAGAAGAGGATATTCTTACTGTGCAGAATTTCATTAAGATGGCATAAAATTTGGGGCTGGGTAAATGTTTGTGTGGCCTTCTTAAACCAGCTGTTGTGATTTTATTGTTCGTGAGATAACTGGAATAAAGTGACTTTCTTCCAAAAACAACAATAATAATAAATAAAATTTAACATATATTGTATTACTAGTACCAAATAATTACATATTGTCTCACCTTTTTTCTCTTCAGCCTCTTTATGGCAAATTCCCTAGAATTGTATCTGGGGTTGTAAAGGCCTGGAAGCACAGACGAGTGAGTGACAAGAGGGGACCCGGATTGGAATGGAATCTGCTTAAGGGCAGGCAAGCTGGTTAGGGAGAAACCCAAAGCTAGGGCTAAGAGCAGAGCCTTAGACAAAGAGTCAGGCCAAGGTCAAAGAAAACATCTGAAATGTAACTGGGTAAAACGTGAGGTGATGATACCATAATTTAATATAGCCCTCTGTCATTATAAGCTCTATACTTATTATATTACTCAGCTTAATTAACCTAACAGTTCCATGAGGGAGAAATAACAGGCCTTCTTTCCATGTCCCCCACAAATAGGAAACAGGACTGAACACTAGAAAAAGAGCTGAATGGAAGCACAATGGCTGGCCCAGGAGAGGTGGGCTACACACTCTGTTTGGTGGGCAGTGCTGCTGGGGTTTTCAATGAATTGTATTGCTTGATGGTGAAATGGACAAATCTCCAGTTTGTCCCAGGCCTTAGCACTCCCTGTTGTCTTTCTCACCCCAGGCCCAGTTCATACATGTAAGTGATTGCCTGGCCCTTGCCCTGTGAATCAAATGTATTTTGATATGACATTTCAGAGGACACTGCTAGAAAAGGTGGAAAGCTGTAATGGAAGCTTTTTTAAGGTATAGCAAGTCATAAGAGAATTATTTTTTGCTTAATATAGTTAAGCAAATATTTTAACTGGCCACTTTTTACAGTTTGGATGTCAGCAAAACCTTTATATTTACTTTCATGTGTTTGCTCACTACCTTTCATATATTTTACATATTTTTAATTAAGAGGAATTCTTGTTAAGAAATTTCCACAGATGCAAACAGGATAATTGTAGTAACCACCCCTTTCTCTCCCTATCATTCTTAATCTTAACACCTTTGTAGTACAACGTTTTTGGCAGTGGAAAACTTTTCTCTAATAAAATCTTTTCTTTTTCTTTTTTTTTTTTTTGAGACAAGGTCTCACTCTGTCACCCAGGCTGGAGTGCAGAGGCGCCATCTTAGTTCTAGTACAAGCTCCACCTCCCAGGCTCAAGTGATCCTCCTACCTCAGCCTCCTGAGCAGCTGGGACTACAGGTAGGCACCACCACGCCTGGCTAATTTTAGTATATATATTTTTAGTAGAGACAAGGTTTTGTCATATTGCCCAGGCTGGTCTTGAACTTCTGGGCATCAAGTAATCTGCCCACCTTGGCCTCCCAAAGTGTTGGAATTACAGGCATGAGCCACTGTACCTGGTTCAAATACAATCTTACACAGAATTCCAATATTAAAATATTAAAACTCTGTTTTGTTGACATTCATAAGTTAGAATTAAATTTTCTCCTTTAAAAGAAAAATTAAGCCATAAAGTTACAGATGACAGTTATAGTCTCCTATTCGACGCAGTTTCCAATTATTTCTGTATTTTATTTTAGTGACATGATTGTAAAGAAATTGTTTTCAATTAAGTAAAAATGGCAGAAGACGCTTTAGTCCAATATTTGCACAAAACAGAAAACTACAGCACTGCCCGCCAAATAGAGTCTGCAGCCCACCTCTCCCAGGCCAACTAGTGTGCTTCGTTTGCCGTAAGCCATTCAACTCTTTTCCTGTTGTGCAGTGTTGTTTCCTATTTCTGGGGGATATGCTGTCAAAAGCAATTGTTACTACATTTGTACTTTTTTCACAAGCAGATTTGTTTATAATGATTCATCTTGTCTTTCCTCAACTTCACTGCGAATTAAGTACATAATATACCAAAACGTGTGTATTTTTTCTTTACCACCACCATTTCCCATTCCTTTTCTTTCCTTCTTCGCCTTTTCTCCTCTCTTCCTGTGTAATAGTAACCCGTGCTTGCTAAGCCAGAATTTGAACGCATTCTTTTGCTTGAAAATTTCAGCTGGTGTCACCCCTTCTTCTAGTCGACTTTCCAGTCTCTTGACATCAGCATAGGATGCTTCAAAACTAAATTCTAAATTCTAGCCAGGCAACATTTGGGATAATAACATCAAGTAGCTTTGGCTCCATGCACAAAATCAACTTCACTAAAATCTGATAACTTTGAATTAAAATCTAATTATTCAATTTAAACATGCTGAGAAACATCATTTTGAAAAATCTCATCATTTTCCTTTTTCTAATGTGATGTAAACAGTTCCTAAATAGTAATGTTTATGGAAATAATGAATTATAATGAAATGTGTTTTCCATATTATAAGTAATCATAAACATGTCCTTAAATATTTAGGTTAAACTCTAAATGCTTCTTACACCTTTTTGATAAAAATATTTCACATTAAACATAAAAAAATACCCTGTAAGTATACGCCATTGCAAATAAGATGCTAACATGATTTTTAAAAATCAATCCAAATTTAGTATATCTAATTTTATAAGCTACTTCCAAGATATTTTTTGAGAATAAAACTCACAAAGAAATGGCCTAAATGGTAGGAGCCAGCTATCATTTCATTTTCACCATATTTAAAGACTTAAAACCCACAACTCACTTGGCAGATGATATGACCACTGCATGTTCATCAGAATTGAGGATTTTTGTAAGATGCGTTGCAACTGAGTCTTCATAAATCGTCATCTGAAAAAAGGAAAAAAGAAAACTCTACACTGTATTATTGTTGCTGGCATTTACACAACTCACTTATTGCTGCTCCAGAAATGGAGCCCTTCATGACATGTGTTAGGCAGGGCAATGGCTATAATGAAATATATGAAAGAGTCATTATGCAAAATAGATAAATATTTCCTTTTGGCAAAAGGCTTTCAGTTTCTAGAATTCTTTAATTTATATTCTTACAGAAATCCATAAAAACCCCTTTACAAAATTTTTTAATGTAAAAATATCTCCATATAAAAATAATTCCTACAAAGTAGTACAATAAAAGTCAAAAAAATCTAGTAAAAATTGGGCAAAAGACTAGACATTTAAATATCAAAATATCCAAATGGCCCATAAACTGATGAAAAGATATCCAATCTCAGCTATCAGGCAAATGGAAACTAAAACCACAACACAGTATCACCATACAGCTCCAAAATGGCTAAAATGAAAACAACTAGAAAATGGCAAGTGCTAGCAAGGCTATGGAGCTACAGAATTCTCATATGCTGCTGATGGGAATGCAAACTGATACACTTTCACAAACGATTTGGCAGGGTCTCTTAAAGGTGAACATATGCAATGATATCACAGGACTCAGAAATTCAACTTCTACATCTACACCCAAAAGAAATGCAGAAGTATGTTCACCAAAAGACATGTACTAGGATGTTCACAGCAGCATTCATCTAATAGCAGAATGGAGTGAAAGAATCCAGAAACAAATGAAAGCACACAAAATGATTATATTTTATAAAGTACAAAACAGATACCAATCTATGCTATTAGAAGTTAGCATAGTGATTATTGGGGTAGGAGGCGGGGGTCTTGACTGAAAGGGAGCATGAGGGGGCTTAGGGGGAACTTGAACACTGTCGGGTGGCCTGGCAAAGATTTGTTTAGTTTGTAAAAATTTACCAAGCTATACATTTATGACCTGTGCACCTTTCTGTATGTATGATTCAATAAAAAAAGTTTTTTAAAATGCTGAATGCACTTTCATATAATCATGTAAATAAATATTTCTTTTAAACAATAGTCAAAATGCCAAAAGCATCCATAATCACTTCTCTATTTGACTCAAACTTTAACATTCTGTTGAAAGAACACATACATTTTCCTAATATGTAAAAATGTATACAATATTTAAACAGCCTCATATTCAGAGCCTTACATCAAATGTATGCCTCAAATAATATTCCATTTCACACAGCTCAACATTTTCTAGCATAAATGATCTGCTCTAGGCAAGCTGGCCACCTATGCTCTTCTGCCTGACTCAGGTATCTTTTCATTACTTGCAGCAATCAGCCTCAGTTCAGAATCTTCAGTTAAGTCTGAATACACCTTCCCCACAAAGCCTTCCTGACTAGCCTCTTCCCAAAAGAATCACATTCCTAATTTACCTTCATTCCACCAGTGGGTATGTTACTCTTTCAAATGTATGTTACTCTTTTAAATTTCTACCTTCCCTCCTTCAAAGGCAGACCACTACAGGAAAGCAATTTTACATTAAAGAAAGGAAGGCAGGCCAGGAGCTCCTAAGTTACACATGATGTTGTATAAGATCCACTTCATTGACCTCTTAGTTTAAACACTGAAAACTGTATCTTTACAGCTAGGATCAGAAAAATGAAAATAGATCATCTAAAAATAAACTTTAAAATTTGAAAAAATAAAATGTTCTCCAGAGGTTGGTTTTATTTTTCTTCTCTGCAGGGTAGAAAATATTTTACGGGATCATTAATGCCATTAACACATTTATTAATGTCAGTTGTTTAATGGATTAATTAGTAACATTTGATTAATGCCATTTGAAACTTATGTTCAAAAAATCCAACTTTTTGTCCATTAAAAATATTTGAAGATCAAAAAATACAACTTCTCTCAGAGGAAAATAAAATAGCCTCTATGTCCAAAGATAAAATTATAGATGTAACTTATTAACCTATTATGCAGTCACTTAGCAGCATCAGAAAGGTAAGTAATAAGAGTTAACATTTTGTATGTGTAGCAGGCACTGTAATTAAGCACTCTGTATACATTTACCCCTTTGTCCTGTTTTATAGCCAAAGAACCCGAGGCTTGTTGAGTAATGTGCCTAAGACCCACAGCTAATGACATATAGAAAAGCTAAGAAGAAAGACTTAGTCTACTTTTATCTCAGTTTTCAAGGTAAAAAAGTCACACACAGTAAAATGCATTCCTGGTGCCAGCCTAGTTCAGGGTCTAGCCAGGGCCATTCAGAACACTCATTTAATCTGTTATCTTAAAGTATGCTATCCCTTTGTTACAAAAAGAAGTTTATTTTTAAAAAGCAAAGTTTCATTTAAAACTCTTTTGTACAAAAAAAGAGATTTCCTTCATATCTTTAGAATTGTACCTCATATTTAGTGATTATACATAAATGATAAAAGTAAATCATTTACTGTTATTTTATATGCTAGAAAACAGACATTTCTGAAGTAAATGGAAGAAAAAAAATTCTCCTTTTCATCTTTTTTGGAAAGAAAATTAATAACATTTACAAAAATACTGTTATGTTAAAGGACTGGTTTCTATAAAAATGCGTTATGTTTATGGAATCACATAACTAAAAATGCTGCTGAAAATCAAGTGGTAAATATATTAATCTTTAATAGTGACATCTCTGGGTGGTAGGACTACAGGTGATTTTATTTTCTTTTTCATATAATTTGGTATTTCCCGAATTTTTTTAGAAGCAGTTTGGCTATCAGCAGTTTTTATGTCAGAAAATGTTTTAAAAATACAATTAGCTTCTCTAAGAAACAGCCCCATGTTTGTAGTTATCATTCCTTGCCTTAGTTTTGACAAGATCATAATTTTCTTAATGACAAAACAAAGATTTCAACTGTGAAATAAACAGATGAATTTTCCTGGAGGGAAAAATAAGCTAGCATAGATCAAATGGTCTTAATGTGTCAGAGAATAATCCTCTGAAGGTCAGGTTCTGTTTTAAATCTACACTGCTTTGAGGTTTAATCAGAACATTGACTCTTTAAAAACATTAGTCATTTATGGTCTGTAGTAGAGATGGAATTAAGTGGTCTTTCTTCCTTTAACTATATCAACAGGCTTAACCCAGAGACCTGTCTTGCTGTCCCTTCAAAAGAGTAGGGGCCAGCCACAGTGTCTCATGCCTGTAATCCCAGCACTTTGGGAGGCTAAGGCAGGAGGATCTCTTGAGACCAGGAATTCAAGGCTGCAGTGAGCTGTGTTTGGATCATTGCATTCCGGACAGCCTGGGCCACAGAGCAAGACCCTGTCTCAAAAAGAAAAGAAAAAGAAAAGAGTACGCAAAGCAAGCAGTAAGAGAGAAACTGTATAATATTCTGGCCATGAGTATTGGTGTGTCTGGAGACTGTTTAAAGAAGCTAACATCTGATAACCAAACAATCTAACGGCCAAAGTAGAAGATGAATAAACACTAACAGGAAACATCAGCTGGCCTTCCTGGAGCTCTCCCGACACAAAGGAAACGGGCAGGTGGAACAAGAAGGGAGGATTATCTGGACAGGAGAAGAGATGCTGCTTTACACATCTGTTATATCATTTAACTCCCAAGAGTTTGTAGCCTCACTTTACACAAGAAGAGGCCCAGGAATGGGAGTGACTGGGCACTCCCAGTGTGGGTGGTCATGGAAGGACTCTAACCTAGATTCAGGATTCTTCTTTCTGGGGGACAGGACGAGAGGTAGTCAATGAGACCATACCCCCAAAATAAAATTAAGTTAACATGCTACCATATATTAGGAGTACATTTTCACATTTTGTTGTCCAAGATACCCACCCCCATTTCAAATGATAGGTAAAGGGTTAAGTCTTACATAAAATTCTTCAGATGCTTCTGGAGGTCCTGGAAGTAGGGAAGCTTTTGGTGGCAATTTGAGTTCATATGTCATTATACTCCACCTAAAGGGAGAAAAACTCTGGTCTAAGATTTCCTTAAAATTGGATAAACTGTTACCATCTCATACATACACACACACACACATACACACACACACACATTCATGAACTATGGTTTATTTTATCTTAAAACAACCAAAAATGGGAAAAGAGATCACATTTCAGTAATCTGATAAAATGTTGAATTCATAATTTATGATGTCCACATCTTACCATTTCTCCAATTAGTGGCTTCTAAATGTTTTAAGACCCATAGCCCACAATAAGAAATCCACACTTGTTACAACACCCCCACTTCTTCACAGGTACAATGCATTCTGACTTTTCCATTCTTTTCTATTCTATTTTAAAAATAATGCTCATTGCAGTTTACTAATTAGGTTATAAAC